AAAGAAGTACAGGTAATATTCTTCAAAAGGATACTATCCAGAAATACGGGGTGTTAAATTGAACATAACATAAAACGCCTGGCTCAGAGCCTGTAGCTCAAGCAGCTAAGGCACCGGCCACATATACCAGAGCTGGCAGGTCTGAATCCAGCCCAGGCCTGCCGAACAACGACGACAACTCCAACCAAAAAATAGCCAGGCATTGTGGTGGGCGCCTGTAGTCCCAGCTACTTGGGAGGCTGAAGCAAGAGAATTGCTTAAGCCCAAGAGTTTGAGGTTGCTGTGAGCTGTAACACCAGGGCACTCTACCCAGGGAGACAGCTTGAGGCTGTCCTAAAAAAAAAAAATATATATATATATATAAAAAATAGAACTCAAAATCCATGCTAGGGACTTGGAACACTAAGAGAAGTTTGAAAGAGTATTCTCAAAGCATCAAACAGTTTTAAGCATATTTAATATTATACAGATTGGGTAAAAATTATTAAATATTGTATTTTTGTTGCTAAATCAGCAGACATATATTCCATTTCTCAATAAATGAAAATGAGTACACATTAGTAAAGATCTGTTCTCTGCTAAGAAGAGGGAAAACATCTATCTAGACAGAAAAATGAAGACTATTTAAAGATGTTAAAACTTGTTAGTCTCTGTACATATCACACTGCCTTAAAGAACCTTCCAATTCGCAAGCACTTAAAATTTGTAGAACAAACTCACAAATAGCTATGGGGTTATAAAAGATAACCACCTTCCATTTTCCCTAATGTCTTCCCTCTCATCCCACCCCACCCCCCAAAAAGAAAGAAATTAAAGGAAGAAGGATTCTTGATTCAGGGTAGACAGTGCTGAGCTGGTGAGAAACGCCCCTGGCTTGTTGGCATTTAGAGATAAGCAAATGCTGAATTTTCTTTTATTATTTCTCCTGTTTATATGGATGGCACCTTAGAGAAACAGACAGGGTGAAAGACTAACAGGTCCATGAGACCATTATAATGGAAAGGTTTCATCAAAAGAATTAGACTTGAGATAAACTTTAGGGATTGGAGGATTTGGGAGGAAATTGCTTTTACCAACCTGTGTTAGGCAAGACTTGCAAGACTGGCTGATCTGGAAGATTTAAAATGAATTTAAATTTGTCAAAATTCACAGTCACTGATAAAATTCCTTTTGCTATGCCATAGTTTCATTTATTTCAGAACATAACCAGGACTAGGCTTCAGAGCTCTACTATCTATCATAGTTAAATTATGCTTTTTCACATATTAAATTATTATCAAAAACTATTAAAGGATGTTAACACTATCTGTGCCTGAATCTCGGTAATAATCTCTTGCTTGGAATATTTTTTCTTTTCAAAACTTAGGCTCTCAATATTTGGTTTTATTAAGATATGCTATTTAAAAACCACATTGGGATTCCTATCTTATGAAATACTGGAATCACAAGAAGTTGAGAGCATAGCAGGTAGCAACTGAAACAGGAGAGATACTCCCTTCAGAAAAACACTTAAGAGTTTAACAGAGTCAGAGATTAAATGAGGAAAGAGAGGCTAGGTGAGCACATCCCACAGGATATCCACAACCCTTAGATATATATATGCCTTAAAGGATCACTATTCATTTTTAACTTAGTAAAGTTTATTCTGTCTGACAATGACCAAGGCTTTCACATTCCTTTACTGTTGGCAATGCAGTTACACTCCCAGCTATTTTATATCCATTTTGAATTATCGTCCACAGAATAGAAACATCCCATTAAACGATAGAGAGATACACGTTTAAATCATTTAAGAATTTTACAAGAGAAAGTCGTCAAACTGGTTAGAAAAAAGTTGTTCATATCAAATAATACATATCTACTAAAATACAATTATAAATTATTTTTTATTATTTGGATATTTCTTGAAAAAAACTAAGTTATTCACTGAAATATGAAACAAATGAATTTATTTTATTTACCTAAAATAAGGAATACTAATTAAAATATAAGTGGATAAAGTTATTATAGAATTATTATGTCAGACTTTTACATCAATTTATAAGTTTCAGGTAACTGACATTTCAGATCATAGCATAATTCTGTCCAAAGGCCACAATATAAATGTCAAGTAATAATGTGAAATGTAGTAACATTAGCCATGACTGAAGGTTATGATTTCACTGGACTGAAACTGACTTAAATTTTACCATTCTTTTATTGTTATAAAAATACACTTGGACAAGCTAGTGGGCTGACTCCACGTTCGTTCAAGTATACATCAGGAAACAACTCAAAGTTCTTATTAGAAAGGGTAATATATAGATGGGTCAAATTGCAAATGTCAACTGAATATTATCCCTGTGATTAGTTAAAATTTCTTTGCTTTTTAAAAATGGCAATGTCCAGGTAACTACAACACCTTGTTGTTTTGAAAATACTCATTAAACACTTGATATATTTATTAATATAAATTTTCTGATGTGGCTATGTAACATACAATTAAATAAATAAAAACAATATTATGTATTTCATTTCCAAACTTAAAAAAAAAGGGAAATTGATGTTAAAAGTACTCCTATGACACGTCTAAAGAAGACTGTAAATAAGCCCAATTCATAGTCACTGTCAACAAAGTCTTATCTAGTAAGGTTCCATTTGAGACTAAATAGAAAATTATAATAAGGATTTCTTAAAATGCAAAACTTTATCTATAAAACTAGGATAACTTTCAAAAACTATAGATTAATCTGTGAATATCCATTTTTATAGAGAATAGTTGCACATATGTGTGTGTGTGTATTCAAGACTAACTTGTGATGTTATAAACACAAACTCTCTGCCTAGTGGTTTTGGGAGAGAGGCAGAGGATGTGCATGTTACAGCTCACGTCACACTGGCTGTGTAAGCGGCAGTGGAATTATTTAACTTGTCTATGTACAGGTTCAGCTGTCAACTGATGATCATCAGTCTGCTCTTCTTAAGTTCTTCAGGGGTCTTAAATGAGATAGGACAAATCAGTGACTGAACAGTGCCTGGCATGTAGTAGCTTTCACGTCATTGGCGGATCTACTTATTAGAACACCAATAAATAAAGATACTGTTAGTCCATTTGAAAGTATAGCCTCTTTCCTGAAAGAGAAAGCACAAGCACAACAAAAATTTATAAAATAATAACTGAGTTTGCCTGCCACTAGAGAACAAAGAAACAATCAGATTCAACTTTTCTGTTTCATTTATAAAGCTCAAAGAAGTTAAGCTGTCTTATTCAAGGCCACAAAATACCTATGTGGCCTCAGAAGAACCTTTGGAAGAGATAAGTATTTTAATCTTCTGACTGGGAACAAACCTATAGGTGTCCAAACAAGATGTTACTTTGATGTAAACCATGAGCCTATAGGCACATTTTGTTTCTGAGCACTCTGAAAAGGGTTAAGTTACCAATTTCCTCTCCTTTGTCCCAGGCCAGTATGGGACAGGCCCACAAGTAAGGAAAATAGGGTGGTGATAGTAATTATGCTCATAGCTACCAAAGGAAGTTCTAATCATAGCATCCCCAACATCCTGACATTCAGTGTGATGAAAGCTTTTCCAGTACCAAGAGAGAAGTTTATTACTTTCTATTGGTGATATAAAATGTACATCCTGGAAGTAGGGGAAAAACTACTTTCCTACAGATCACCCAGAGTTCATAAAAATCCTTTCAGTTTACTTTAAATGAGATAACATTTATAAAATACTTAACATAGTCTAATGTCTATGATTATTTTTATTATTGGATCAAGATAACAATATTCTTAAGTTAATAGGATATGAGTTGGGCAAAACAAAGAATGAAGTATGGGGAAGTATGGCACAATTAGCCAGAGGTCTATGGGCAGAAAATGATCCTGAACTTTGCTTCCACTCTTATCACATTTACTTGTACAGATTAGTTAGGTTTTCATAGACATAAGCTCGAACTCTTCAAAATAGTTTTATATTGTGTTTCCTTGTAATAAGGATTAGGATAGAAGGAAGTTTAAGTGAAAAACAGATACGTTAAGTGTAACTTTATTTTTATTCTGATTAAGATTTCTACTGACAAATACTCATTTAGTATGAGTACTGTCGCTATTCTTATTGACAATATATGCAACTACATGTTTTATTATCTTGAAGCAAAGCATTTTTATGCTAATAATTCCACCATAAAATTTTAAGGTGATATGCCATTTCCATTTTTAGGACTGGAAAAGACATTTGACCCATATCCCAAAACCCTGGCTACATGAACAGGGATAATTATGTTAGTGAGAGGGAAAAAATACCACAAATATACTGTTTACCAAATCTGAAATTTGCAGAGTAATTCTAACCCCCATAAGAAACCTAATAATAACTACAGTTAAAAAGAAGGAATTTAATCTAAAAAACCCTTACCAATTGGCATTTTTTGAGTTCACAATTGATATCACATCTACACACCAATAATATACAGTTCTATTCTACCTTCAGGGCAGCAAAGAGTTTCTGTGTTCACCTCTGCCTCTGAATATAATGGCTTATCATGTGTCACATTAAGAATGTTAAAGGACAGCATGAAAATTCAAGATCAGGATTACAAGTAAAAAAATGTACCATGGAATAGCTATCAGATAAAAGTGATTATTTGATAGTACTGCCTGGACAGAATTCATCAATTTGAAAACAAAATAATCTATAAGACATTATCAGACTCATGACTAAGTCAGGATTTTATTGTCTTTTTGGCTCAAATATCATATTATCAAAGTAAAGCTTCATGTGCTTTTGAGACCAATGGTTTAAGATCCAGTTTTGCATATTTAAGCTTGTTGTATTCTCTCATTTTCAGACCTAAAGGAAAAAAACTCTACATATTAAGATTTTATGTTTTTAATTTAATAATTACTTGTACTAGTCCTTAGTAGTCAATCTTCATATCCACATCTTTATGTCATCAACAATCATCTCAGACACACCTTCTAAGAAGACTGTTTTAAAATATTACGACAGGAAACTATGCCTTCAGGAGCATGTTTATTGTGTTTGAGATGATACATCAGGTGCTCTCTGAGCTACAAAGGGTAAAAGGAAATCCTCTCATTACAAACTGACAAAGGTCAAAGGTAAAACATTTTTCACAACAGCATGAACCACATACTCAGAAATAGATCTGGGTTTAATACAAATGACATAATTCCTAGTCATCTACAGCTACTTTTATAACTTCATACAGATAATGAATTAGGCTAAAATGCACTATAATATTTGGTAGACTTCAGGACCAGTATCCTTAGTACATCACAAAATACATTTTGATATCCCAAAGAAGCAAGACTTGCAAGTAGGCGTTTTAAACATAACTAATCTACAGCTACAAAGTTCTACTCTTGATAGCATTTACCTTTTTGGGAAGTCTCCCAGGCTCCAAAGGATAAAAGCAGAGAGTAGAATCAGTATAACATATACACAGAAGTCCGTATTGTAAAGGCTATAAAGATTTGCAGCACAGTGAGAAGATGCCTTCTGCTCCTTCACACTGCATACAAATAATATGAATTATGTTGCGTATCTCTTGGTCCACTGTCTGGCTATCCTGTCGTGTTCTGCTCTGTTGGTCAAATACTGAGTGGCTATGCTTCCAACCAGAGGATCCGCTACAAAAGTGGAAAGAACATGAAAGATATTACGTGGTGTCTTAAAGGGACACAGTTCTAATATTCTATTAAACTGAAACACTGACTTTTCAGTAGCATCTTGATATATAATAGCTAGATTTTCTAAAGAAAAGTGTTTAAAATAACAATCGCTTATTTTGATATTTAACAGCCCCTTTCAGTAAGAAAACAAATGAGTTAATAGATCTGATTTTTATAAAGATGTATATGTCTAATATACAATGACTATGTTGTTGTCTTGGCATTTTATTGAATGACAGAAGTATGCTAGTATTTATAATTCTGCTTTCTCATGGATATTAAAAAGTGGTCATTTAAAAATAAAACTCTAACCTTGTAATAAAATAGAATTCATAATCGCTTTCCATTATCTCCCTTTGAAAACTTATATGCCATTTCATTTTAAGTAGAATTAACTAGAAATTGAATCTGAGATGTAAACTTTTATTTTTCAAAAAGACAAAATATGTATACATGGTACAGTATTTGAATTGTGCCAAACAATGGCCAGTAAAACTCTCTTCCTGTTTGCAAATACTCAGAAGTTTCTTTCCCTGGCAAACAATTGTTACCATTTACCACATTCCCTTTTAGAGATATTATAAGCATTGACAAGCACTGAGAATATATATATATGTATTTTTTTCTTCTCCAGTACCTTGCTTTTTTACTTAATATATCTTAAAGACTTTTCTCTATTAGGTAATACAGTTGTCTCATTTTAACAGCTACATCCTCTATTAATATGGGTTCAAGTTGTTACTAAACTTTTGCTTTAATAAATGGTACAATGAACATCCACATTTGTCTCTCTCTCCCTATATATTTAGATAACGTACATGAGTTGCAAATGTATAACTGTGGAGCTTAAGGTAACAGTAACAGCCTTCAACATCTTACCAAATTGTTTTTAAAAGTCAGTCAACATCTCTAAAAATGACCACTTAATAAGATAACACATGAAATTCTAGGTCTAAACACCAATTCATCAAGTCAGCTACCCACAGTTGAAATTCACATGTGGCAGTAAGGCATTTTTATTTTTAAGTTAAAAATTATACAATAGCTCTGAATTTATATAATCACAATCTAGTCTAACTTTCTCAGTCATCAGCTATTGTTTTAATATCCATTACTACTACATCTAATATTACTAACCGTAATCTAAATAGAAAGGGAGAACAAGAAAAGCTCATTGTTAAGTGCTGCCTGTTCATTACCATCACAAACCAATGCCATCTTGAGATATAGCAACTCATGACTAATGATAAGAAAAGTTTCAAGAACTGCTAATCCAAGAGTGCTGGCATCTGAAAGTAGGTAAGGTTTTAAGTAACCAAAGTCTTAAATGATGAAACCATGACTTCCCACATATACAAATATACAACAACAAAACAGTGTGGGGTCAGTCCATGACCTATGCACTGTGCCCCACCCCCACCATGTAACTTAGCACACTGCAGCATGAAGGGCAAGAAAAGGAGGCCTTAGTGTCAGAAACGTCACTTTATTTTGTCAAAAGTGGTCTGTACAGCTACACAATTTAAAAAGTAGGGACTCCATCAATGATTATGGTAAAATAATTATAGAGTGGCATGCCACTGACAAAGTGAAGTTATTGAGAAAATTCTGGCCTGGTCTACTTAGTAATTTCTTCACAAAATGTTTTATGCTAACAGAGAAAATGCTTACCAGGGTTGCAGTCTGTCAAAAGAGAACAAATAGACAGCAAAACCTTTGAAATAGTCAAAGCAGGACTCCAGTTGTCTTTAAGGATGTCCAGACAGATGACTCCCTGACTGTTGATGTTGCAGTGATAGATTCTGGTACGGAAAGTAACCTGAGCACAGTGATATTAAAAACAAAGAAACAACAATGCTTTGTTATCAGCAGAAACAATCATTAAAAAAACATAAAGGGTGACACATCATAGATACTACTAAATAGCAAACTGGACTTAACTGGAACTTAAATTAGGTTCAATAACAAAATTAAATGGTTTTGATTCAGTTTGAAGAAATGTTTCTGTTTTTTACCCAATATAGAAAGAAAAAAAACCTGAGTAGCTGGTTGGTTACATCTGAATACATGATACGGTCACTTTATGAATGCATTTGGATACATGTGTATGAAACCCATGCCCGCACACACACACAGAAAGTGGGCAGAACAGAAATGCTTTGGTCTTAAAGGTAAGAGAAATTTATTTTATTTGTTTTTTTTACATAAAAGTTACATTAGTTTCTTAGTAGAAAAGATCATATTGACTCAGCTAATTTCTTGCCAGAAAATACAGGAAAAGGATTGCAAGGAAAATGGTTAAAATCATTTGTACTACCTTCCTTTCTATTTCTTTGCCTTTCACTTTCATAGCCGGTTTACTGTCTTATTAGACTAAAATATAAAAATAAGCAAGGTCTTCAGCTATTGGATAAAGAGATGTATGAGAAAAAAAACGAAATCAGGAACAAATACTGGAAAGTTTCAAAACAGCCACAAACAATAATTGGATAGTTGAATCACAATTGAAGTTGCAGAGAAAAATAAAACCCAATCTCTTATTTTTTGGAACTAGAAGTATACTATCAGCTCCAAAGTGGAATCGGAAGAAAATATTAAGCCCTCTTAAAAGTATCTTTCTGAAAAGGACATGCAGGATTAATAGGAGGAGGGATGGAGGAAAGAAGGACACTAGTTTAGTGAGGGAGGAGGAGAGCACACCTCCTTAGAACTGCTCTGTCCTATGTGGCTAGCAGATTAAAATTCTCAAAAAGGAAATGAAAAAGATCTCATTAATAATACTCTTACACTGATCACATACAGAAATGATAATATGTTGATATTAGGTTTAATAAAATACATTATTAAAATTACTTTTACTTTTTAACCTTAGAATTTTTAAAATTATACATGTCACTCATACCTGTAATCCTTGCACTCTGGGAGGCCAAGGCAGGTGGATTGCCTTAGCTCACAGGTTGGAACCAGCCTGAGCCAGAGAAAAACATCTCTAAAAATAGCTGGGTGTTGTGGCGGGAGCCTGTAGTCCCAGCTATTTGGGAGACTGAGGCAAAAGAATTGCTTGAGCCCAAGAGGTTGAGGTTGCTGTGAGCTATGATGTTACAGCACTCTACCAAGCAAGGGCGACAAAGTGAGACTGTCTCCAAAACAAAACAAAGCAGGCCCTTGATTCTCCATTTAGACTTGACTTATTAAAAAAAAAAAAAAATACATGCCAGTTGCATTATATTTCTATTAGTGCTGCTCTAGAATATGGGAATAATGTATGTTCAGCACACTGACAGATGATTACTAAATACATATCTAACTTACAAATATAATGGTAGAAGAAATCAAATTATTATTATCTTTTTTAGAGAATCTTTATTTTGTCGCCCTCGGAAAAGTGCTGTAGCATCACAGCTCACAGCAATCTCCAGCTTTTGCACTTAGGCCATTCTCTTGCTTTAGCCTCCCAAGTAGCTGGGACTAGAGGCACCCACCACAACGCCTGGCTATTTTTCTGTTGCAGTTTGGCCAGGGCCAGGTTCAAATCTACCACCCTCAGTATATGGGGCTGGTGCCCTACTCACTGAGCCACAGGTGCCACCCTTTTATTATTCTTTTAAGAAGGTCAATACTTTTTCTGAATTTCAAAAAGATTTAGCACTGAAAATAATTATTTCTAACACCAAGATAACACCAGAAATCTTATTTTTTCTTGTCCAATATAGACCTCAATAATGTTTAATACTCCATAAGATAGCAGAAGTAAACCATCAAAAATCAAAATATTACAATTTCAGGAAAAGATAAACATGTGAAACAACCATATTTAATAATAATCAAAATTACTTACAAATTATATACAAAACTATAGTTTGAAATCCTTATGTTAGTCAACTTTCATTTTCCATTAAAAGGTGCTAAGAATAATCTTTTTCTTCAATTAATTTCCCTCCAATATACAAATCTTGCTGACTTTTTCCATAATTTTGCTAACATATTAAAACCAATTTCTAATGTGAAAAAATAAGCATGTAAAAAATAAGTATTACCATTTATATAGTCATGAAATATTTTGCTAAGATCTTACTTTTTCTTCTATAATACAGAAAATTTAACCAGTGAATGCAGATTGAGTAGTGATACACTGGCATTTAATATGTGTCATTCGGAATGTGAAAACAATTGTGTGTTACCAGCAAGAGGGTTTTACCCCTTTGATTTCTTTCCAAGACTCTACTGACTTGGCAGCATTAAAAAAATCACAGCAATTTAAAGACTGCAAAGTAAAACACTAAAAAAAAAAAAAAAACCCCCAATTAAGTCAATACCTCCAGGCCTAGAACTCAGTGGTTAGGGCACTGGCCACTTATACCTGGGCTGGCGGAGTCGAACCTGGCCCAGGCCTGCTAAACAACATTGACAACTACAACAAGAACAAAAAAATAGCTGGGCATTGTAGTCCCAGCTACTTGGGAGGTTGAGGCAAGAGAATCGCTAAAGCCCAAGAGTTTGAGGTTGCTGTGAGCTGTTACACCACAGCACTCTACCAAGGGTGACATAGAAAGACTCTATCTCAAAAAAAAAGTTAATACCTCCAGGTGATAAGGGATGTTGGTATCTGTGACTTTAGGTAAACACCACCAGGTGGGACTCATTACCTTGTTAGAGAACACTTTCCTGAAAAATCTTTTTACCCCACAAAATAAAAACTTTGATTTTTGTGCACACACATATACACCTGTACACACACACTCCCACACTTGTGAAGACTACATATATTTTATATAGTATAGAGAACATAAAGAATATGTTAAAGAAAATAACACTTTATCATAGTTAAGGGCTATAGACTTGATAATATACTTTTCCCTGTCATGTTTTCATTTCTGCAATTAATTAACTAATTAATTATGCTAACACTTAATTCTGGTGGTTTTTACCTGCTGGCTTGACCACTGTAGAAAGAGAAGACAGGGGAGGAAGCCACTCCAGTAATCGTTATGTTTAAGCTTTGCAAAATAATTGTCAGTCATTACCAGGCATAACCTGTCCGTTATCCATGATCCACACTTCCAATGAACTCAGAGACAACAAAGGGGCAGAAGTAACACAGCTGCCCTCAGTGTCCATCACTAAGTCATCCCCACAGAGGGTACAAAGCGAGGTTACTAGATACTATTAGTTTTCCCTCCATTGGTATCATTTTCCAGGTCTTGCTCATCTATTTGTGCTTATCTGGTGCAAAGTTCATGTTATTAAATGCTTATTTCTAGAAGCTGTCAAACCAAGTACCCTCTTTTTATTGATTAAAAAGTTATTTGTGAAAGACAAAAACAACACTTTCAGTTTTAAAATTCTTATATATAAGAGTTTCTACATCAATTCATGAAAAATGAAACAAAAATGATTACATCAGTACACATTTAAGTTACAAAATAGCTGATTTTGTAAAAGGATAAATATGAAAGAATACACTTCTAAGTTCTTACCTTTGGTGGCTTAAATGGATAATCCGATGAAAATGTGATATCCAGAAAAAACACACCACCTTCATATACAGAACCTGGTGGACCAAGAATAGTCGATCTCCATTCATAAATGTTATCTCCTTTAGGCCCAGCACTAGTTAAAAGAAATTAACAATCAGTATGTACATCTGGTAAACATGAATGCTAGTATCTTTTTAAAACCAAGAAAACATTAAAGGTAAGTTAGCAACCTAGAGCAATAAGAAATGAGATAAGCATAAGAGAAATTAACTCCAATGTGTTCATGAGTGAGTATATAAACTTACCTGGGAATATTTTACCTTTACAGAAGAAGTACAAAAAGGTTAAAAAAAAAAAAAAAAAGTACAAACAACACCTGTGTAACTTTCCCCAGAATCTCCTTCTGTTCGCATTTGTTCCTCCTTCTTTCTCTCTCCTAAATACTCCTCCTTACCCCTTGTGTGTACATGTCTTTTTTCAGAGTCATCTGAAAGTAAGCTGCATACATCGTAACATTTTCCCCATAAATACATCAGTGTTCATTTCCTAAAAACTCTCCTATAAACCACAATACAGTTACAATTTCAGTAAATATATGAATATATTTTAATCTACAATATCCATTTTAATGTCAACTGACCAAATAATATAATTTAAAATTTTAATCATTTTCCAGATGCAGGATCCAGTCTTAGGATCATATCTTGTCCTATGTCTTTTGTCTGCTTTAATAGGGGTTCTTTCTGTCTTTAACTTTTAGATCCTTTTTTGCAAAATTATATCTTAAAACAAAATAGAATGCACATCACTTTGGGCTTATCTGATGTTTTCTCATGATTCGATTCAAGTAGTATTTATGCGAAAGAGTAGGAAGTGATATGTCCTTCCCAGAGTATCATGGAGGCCCATGATATCCACCTGTACCTCACAGTGATGTTAAGTAAGTTTCATTGTCCAGACAAGGCACTTATCCAGTTTTCCTACTTCTTAGTTATCTTTTCCCTGAAACCAATAAGCAATCTTTAAGGCAGACACTTTAAGACCATGCAAATATCCTGCTTCTCATCAAAATTTCTCCCCTAGTTTTAACATTTGTCATTTATTTGCAAATGCTATTGTTTGGTTTGTCACTGCTGAAATTCATGTTGAAAAGTAAAAGGCAAAAGACTGATGCGATCTGAAGAGAAACCAGAGTACTTCATGCTGAAATGTGACTCCCCACTGCTGGGAGGTGTCTGGGGTCACGCTGATGAGTAGATTACCGCCCTCCCCGCTGATGAGTGAGTTTGCACTCTCCAGAGAATAGATAGTTCTTAAGAGAATGGGTTGCTAAAAGAGTATGGATTCCTTGGTGTCTCTCCCTTGCCATGTGATCTCTTTGCTCACAACAAATAGCTCTGCTTCCAGTTTCCACTGTGAGTTGAAGCAGCTTGAGACTCTCACTGGATGCAAATACCCAATCTTGAACTTTACAGGCAATCAGAATCATGAACCAAATCACTTTTTTTTAATATACTACTCAGTCTCAAGCATTTTGTTCAGCATCAAAATCATAATTTTCTAACTAGTACTGTTTCCATACTTAACAGTTGCCCCTTGAGCCCTCTTTCTCTTACTTGGATGTATGTATAAATATCCTTATTATTGATATGGTCTCATGAATTCCTTCTTCACCTCCAATGCTTTATAACTCATTACTTGCTTTAATTATTTTGATGCTCAAATTATTCCAGATTAGGGCGCTGAGAACAGTTTCAAAATGGCTCTCATATATATATATATATATATATATTTATATTTATATTTATTTTGCAGTTTTTGGCCAGGGCTGGGTTTGAACCCACCTCAGGCATATGGGGCCAGTACCCTACTCCTTTGAGCCACAGGCGCCACCCGGCTCCTACATTCCTGGGACATACTGCCACCATTTTTTTGAGCACTTCCTGTCTTTCCGGTATAAGGAGATGTTCCAGGCTCCAAGCCTTGCAATCAGCTGTTTCTCCAAGGAGCCTTGTTTCCTTTCAGTGGGAACATTGTAAGAAAACCAAGTTCTAGTGCTAAGTGCTACTAAATTGCAGCTATATTTTGGTGTAGTATGCTCAACAACGTTTCTTAATTTATAAAATACAAACATAACAATTCAAATAAAATGTAAACCCATAATTACCTGCTGGTAAAGCAACTCTAACATGCCTTAAACTGCCTTCAAATATACCTTACTGCCCATTGGTGCAAGAGCTGAGATTCCCATACCAAATTCTTAGTTCTTAAAGGTGCTTTCTTCCCCTAATTATGCTATCTGCCACAGGGCCAGGGGTATTTTAACTATTATAGTAAGATATTAAATGCAAGTTTTCTTGTCTTGGAGTATGATAGACTGAGCATAGATACAGCTATTGTAGTATATAGGGTAAACATAAAGTTCATGTGCAATTTGAAATAGTTTAACATAGTAAACTGCACACGAACACTCTCTCTCTCTCTCTCTCTCTCTCTCTCTATATATATATATATATAGGTCCACCCTATAATACACCTAGCCTAAAGCAAATTAGGTTCAAAATCAGCCCTGTGTTGACTGCCTTTGTCTGGAATAAGGATCCCCTTTTCATTCTCATATGGTACCATCTGCTAATCATTACACAGGGTGAGGTGGGAGATGGGTAGGAAGGAATATGGAACAGGTAGCTTCACGATTGAGTGCACTCTCGTTCAACAAAGCAGTTTACAGGCCAGCATCTGATGTGCCCCTGAGGCTTCACAGGTGAGTAGAAAACAGGTGAGAAATGCTGACATTTTCAAGACAGGTGCTATACAAACCTTTTCACTAGTTTTTCTCTTCCTCCCTCCCTCCTTTCCCTACAAGCACTCTAGAAATTCCCCACTTTGTCTTGGGCCATCCATTTTTCCTTCTCTGGCAGGTCATGCCAACAATCCAACAATGCCATTTCTCTCTTTATTTAGAAGAACTGTGTGTCTCTCTCTATTTAGGAACACACCTCTGCCCTTCCTAGCTTCCATTTCTTTCCTGCGAAGTGAACTCCCTGAAAGTGTTATCTACAACTGCTGTCTCCAATTTTTCTCCTCTTGCTTTCATTTGAACCCATCCCAAAAAGACTTTTCTTCCTCATCACTCCATTTAAACAGCTCTTACCCAAGGTCACCAATGGCCTCATTACTAGACTCAATGATCATTTCTCACACCTCATCTTATTTAACTAACTGATCCAGCAATATTTTTTGTTGTTGAGGCAGTTTCAAGCTGTCGCGCTAGGTAGAGTGCTGTGGTGTCACAGCTCACAGCAACCTCCAACTCTTGGGCGTAAGTGATTCTCTTGCCTCAGCCTCCCAAGTAGCTGGGACTACAGGTGCCCACCACAACATCTGGCTACTGATCCAGCAATATTTGACACAGTGGATTAATTCCTCCTTGATATACTTTCTCTGTTCTGTGCCTTTTTATTTCTTCCTAAATTCCTGGCCCTTTCTTCTCATTCTCTATTGCTGTTCCTTATCTCTTGAACCTTTAAATACTGCCTGTCTTCTGGAGCTAGGAACCTCATCTCTACTCTATTCTACCTACATACACTCTTTCGGCTATCTCATACAATTTTATGGCTTCTTTAAGTCTAAAATCTGTACCACCAATCTAGATTTTTTGCTGTGCAAAAGACAATGACAATGTTAAGAGAAGCTCACAGCCTAGAAGAAAATGTTTGCAAAAGACATATCTGATAAAGAACAATTATCCAAGACACAGAATGAACTCATAAATCTCAATAATGGGAAAATGAACATGATTAAAAACTGGACAAAAGACCTCAATGAACACTTCAGCAAAGACAACAAACAGATGGAAAGTAAGTACACAAAAAAACGTTCAACCTCACCTCACTGAAGAACTACAAATTAAAACAACAATGACACATCTATTACATCTATTAGACATCTATATGTATTAGAAGGACCCAAATCCAAAACACTACCACCACTAGATGGCTGGCAAAGATGTGGAACAAAGGGAACTCTCATCCACTGCTGGAGACAATGCCAAATGTCTACACCAGTGTTTTTGTTTTTTCAACCTTTTTTATCTCACAGCACACTTGAACCTATAGTTAAACTTCTGCAGCACACTTAAATTGTATGGATCAAAAAAAAAAGAGTAAGAAAAAGAATATACTTAACTGTGTTTTGAACTTCTTTCAAGAATTTAATTAATGATCTTTAAAAATTTCGAGGGCACACTTAAGATCCTTTCATAGCACACTAGTTGAAAATCACTGGTCTAGATTCACTTTTTTAGATGTCCACTTGGAAAGACAGTTTGGCAGTATCTTACAAAACTAAACTTTTTTTTTTTTTTTTTTGAGACAGGAGCCTCAAGCTGTCCCCCTGGGTAGAGTGCTGTGGTATCTCAGCTCACAGCAACCTCCAACTCCTGGGCTCAAATGAGTCTCCTGCCTCTGCCTCCCAAGTAGCTGGGACCACAGGTGCCCGCCACAACGCCTGGCTATTTTTTGGTTGCAGCCGGCATTGTTGTTTGGCAGGCCCAGGCTGGATTCGAACCCGCCACCTTGGGTGTACGTGGCTGGCGCCTTAGCCACTTGAGCCACAGGTGCCGAGCCAAAACTAAACATATTTTTACTTTATAGTCTTGAACTCCCTGGTACTTACTCAAATTAACGGAAAACTTCTGTCCATCTAAAAACTGGCGCACATATGTATAGGAGCTGGATTCACAAATGCCAAAGCTTGGGAGAAACTACGATGTCCTACTGTAGATGAATGAATAAACTATGGTACACTGACAATGGAATATTATTCAGTGCTAAAAAGAAATAAGCTACAAGGCATAAAAAGACATGGAGGTAATGTCAATGCATATGACTAAATGAAAGAAGCAAGAAGCAAATTATTGGAACAAAAGAAAGATAAGTGGTTACCACGGGTTAGAGAAAAAGGGATGAAAATGCACAGCACAGATGATCTTCAAGGCAGTGAAACTATTCTGTATGGCAAAACATGGTAGATATATTCCATTATATATTTGTCAAAACCCATAAAGTGTACACCACCAAGAGTGAACCCTGATGTAAATCAGGGACTCTGAGTGATAATGATGTGTCAAGA